GAATTTAGTAAGTTTAAATATGGCTTATATTTTTCTGCAAGTGCAAGTGATGTATACACTTCATCTATATTAACTCCACACTTTAAAGAAATGTTATTATATAAATTTGATTTTACTGTAAAATCTTGCTGTGCAAATACTCTATATTTTTTATTATTAACAAAAGATGGAGTATGATCTAAATTCCGATTATATATTAAACCTATTTTTTTTATTTTACTATTTTCAATATTCAGAAACATTTTATTCATTTTATAAAGAAGCTTATTTATTTATATCATTTCACAACATAATGATATAAAAAATTAAAATGAGTTAAATAATTTTCTTGCATATATAAAAAAAGATGTCTTATGTGAGTATTGAAAATTTTGATGAAACAAATTTATACGTAAAAGAAATAATTAAATTTAATAAACCTGTTCCATATCAAAAAGTAGTTATTGGCTACAACTATTCAGATTTTTCAGAGGCTTTAAGAGTAAAAACCCCAAAATCGTTATCTTATGGAGTTTGTGAAAATAGAGACTTAAAAACAAAAAAACTTACAGGATATTCAATTCCTTTTGTATGTGAAAATGATATATTTATCACAATTATTGAAGCTATTGAAAAATTTTGTAGAGATAAAGTTACTGAAAATGAATCAAAGTTAAAAAAAGGTGGTATGAAAAGTCTTAATATTCACAATTTAAACATTTTAAAGTATAGAAATGATAATCCTAAGGCATCTCCAGTTATATATGCAAAAATACCAACAGATTATAAAAGTAAAAAGATGGATCAAGTATTCAGGAAAAAAAATGATAGTGATATTTTAGGAGAAAGTCTTATTAAAAAAAGATGTGACGTTGTTGGATGCTTAGCAATTGAAGGTGTATATATCGGATCGATGATTCAATCTATTCAAGTAAAATTATTAGATGCAGTTGTATATGAAAAAGAGTATAAGATAGAAAGACTTTATATTAAAGATATTGATTTAGAAAGTGAAGATGAAGAGTAAAATATTTATAATTTAAGTATTAATTATAAATATATAAAGAATGGATATTGAAGTACATAACAATAAATCAAATATTACTACAATTCAATTTGATCCTATTATTGAACTTGATAAAACAAAAAAATACGAAATGGCATTTATAAGATTAGAAACTATTCACTACAGCGTTTCATCTCAAAATAAGTGTTTACATATATTAAATAATATCGTAGATGGAAAAAATATAAACGGTAAGAAAACTACTGTAATGCATACATTCTTACCAATGACTCGTCCTTCAGGTATGGGTCTTGTTGAAGAACCAAGTTTTAAAAGTTATTTTCCATTAAGAACAAACACACTTTCAAAAATGACAGTTGAAATAGTGGATGATGATCGTTATGCTATAGATATGAGTAAAGAAAGATTAATAATACAATTTCATCTAAGAGAAGTAAAGCAGTAAAGTTATTCATTATAATGAATTAAAAAAAATAATACATATATAAAAATGGATATATGTATTGGAGGAGATACTTCAACAATAAGAAGAAAGTTTTTACCAGCTATTCCACTTGAAATGGCATTAATAAGCTTAGAAACATATAATATACTTAATAATATTACTGATAACAACAATAAATTTACTTATACTATTTATGATCCAAAGATTAAAGAAACATCAACAGCTAATCGTAATATTCCAGAAGGTGTCTATGAACTTTCATCGATCAATGACTGGTTGCAAAAAGAATTAGTTGCTTCTCATTTTCCTTTGAATTCAATTACTTTTGTAGGAAGTACAACAACATTTAAAGTTACAATGGGTATTGAAACAAATTTTGCAGTTGATTTTACAATTGAAAATTCAATCAGAAATCTTTTAGGTTTTGAAAGTAAAATATATAATGCAGGTGTTTATGAATCTGTAAAAGTATTAGATATAAATCATATTAATACTATACATGTAAAAAATAGTATTATATCAGGATCTTATTTAGATAATTCACCAAGCAATATTATTTATACGTTTTACCCCTCTGTAGCTCCTGGAGCTAAACTTGTAGAAAAACCCAATGTTCCCATTTACTTACCTATATCTCTAAGAGGAGATATTCGTGATATGGAAACTTCGTTAATTGATCAAGATGAAAATCCAATTGATGTGCAAGGAGAAAGAATAACAATGAAATTTCATATAAGAGAACGAACTTCTAAATGCGAGCAAGAATCTATTTTAAAAGAACAAGTATCACTTCTAAAAGAATTGATAAACATTTTAAAATATAAAAAATAGAATTAGATATCGTAAGATATCAATATTTATATAGATTCAAAGGAATTAAAATAAATTAAAAAAATTGTGTATATATAAAAAAATGACAGATTATAAAAATATTAAATTTAAACTTTCAGATTATCAAAAGAAGAAAATCAAGAAAGAACTTGAGAATGATTCAAAAAAAATTACTATAAAATTAACTTTTAAAAATCTAAGTGATAAAAATGCTAAAGATGTAGTAGCTCTAACACACAAACAATTAGAGAAAGTAATCAATGCATTTAAAAATAAAAAAGGTATAACAATTGAATTAAATGAAGAAAATCTCGTGCATAATTCTAAAGTGCAAGGTGGATTTCTACCTTTACTAGGATTACTTGGAAGTTTTTTAGCTGCAAAAGTTGTTCCTACTGTTGCAACAGCATTATTAGCTGGAACAGCTGCAGCTGCTGGAAGCACTATAGTTAATAAAATTGCTGGAAAAGGTGTTTTGTATATTAAAGATGATAAAAGATCTATTAAAGCTAGAAAAGTAGGAAAAGGATTACTAATAGATGAATGGAAAAAAGGAAGGTATTTAGAAAATGGGTATTACTACTATTATGGAAAAGGAGCTGGAAACGATAAACAATATGAAAAAGTAGGAAAAGGTTTAATATTAGGTGAAAATTCACCATTTAAAAATATCCCATTATTAGGTTTGATTCTTTAGGTCCTGAAAGGATCTAGATATAAATATATATTTATGAAAAAATATATATTTCATTTAGAATGTATCACTTTGTGATCTACCATTTAATACAGATGAAGGAAAATAAAAACGATCAAAACCATTTCTATATTTTCCATTTTTCACATCTGATGATAAATCAATAACAATAAATTTATGTGGTTTTGACCAAACTATTTTACAAAAGTTTTTAAACTCTTCTTTTGACATATCATTTGAAACATGGTCATTATAAATATGATTTACATTTTTTGAATCTTGTTTAAACAAGCATATAAAATTTGCATTTTCTCTTATTGTTTTCCTTGGTAGCATAAAATAATTTTGTGCTAAATAGAAACAATCTACATTACTATGCCTTCCTCTTATATAGTACTTTTCACACTTGTTTTGCTTTGTTAATTGTAAATCATCGAATATCATAAATTATTTTTAGTAAGATCAAGATCTTCAGGTTCTGGTACATCATCTGCTGTTTCATAAAATTGACACTCCATATCTATTTTATTTTTTAAATTTTTTGAATGGACTTCAATTACAAGATCAGGGCTGATATCCATCTTATCTATTTTATCTTGTAACTTAAATATTTTAAGAATATCTTCTTTTGGTACTTTTTTTTCAAAAGAACTTTTTAATATTTTGTATTCAGGTTGAAAAAGAGATTTTCCAAAAACTTGTAAATTATTATAGTCCAACCAATCAGGTCTTATAAGTAAATTTAATAATAAATTTGTTTTTCCACAACCAGACTTCCCAACTATAAGTCCTCTTATACTTCTTGGTAATAACTCATTATTATTACGATTATTTTTATTTACATTATATGACAAATCTAATACTTCCATTTTCTTATATAAATAATTTTTTTAATTTAAAAAATAGTAAGTAAATAAAAAAATGTATTGCGTTAAATGTAGAAACAAAACAGATACACTCAACTTACAACATGCTGTAAGTAAAAATAATAGAAACATGTTGCGTGGAAATTGTGCACTATGTGGGACAACAAAAAATCAATTTACAAAAGGAACTAAAGGTAGTGATTTAGTAGAATCTATTAATAATTTTACAAAGAATAAAAAATTACCTTTTCAAAAGTTTCAAGGTGAAATGCATATACCACGTACAAACTTTGAAGGACCTGGTACTAGATTAGATTTAAGATTAAATCCTGATGATACACCTAAAGAATGGAGCATGCCTGTAGATAGAGTTGATAAAGCAGCTTATATTCATGATCTTGCTTATAAACATTTTACAGATAAAGAACATAGAAATTTAGCTGATAAAATGATGCTTGAACAAATGGATGCTATACCTAATCCTACAATGCGTAAAAAAATGGAAAGAAAGATTATAAAACCTATTATATCTGCTAAAGTAAGGTTTGGTATGGGAAATAAAGAACCAATGAGTATTAAAGAATTATGTCAAAAAAACTACCAGCGCACAGGAAAAAAGCAAACGACGTAGTGAAGCAAGGATCCATTCGGAATCTGAAATGGACTGATGAACTTGCAAATGAACTTCATAAACCTGTTATAAAACATTTTAGAAAAAGAAAAGTGTTTGCAAATGGTATTGATGAAATATGGGCTGCTGATTTAGTTGACATGCAAACTTTTTCTAAATTTAATAATGGTATAAAATACTTATTAATGGTAATTGATATATTTTCAAAGTATGGATGGATAATTCCACTGAAAAGTAAAACTGGAATCGAAGTTGCTAATGCATTGAATAAAATCTTTAAAATTAGGAAATGCGATAAATTATGGGTTGATAAAGGTTTGGAATTTTATAACAAACATGTTAAAGCATTAGGAGTTCATCTCTATTCAACTGAAAATGAAGAAAAAAGTTGCGTTGTTGAACGATGGAATAGAACAATGAAAGAAAAAATGTTCAAATACTTTTCAGCTAATTCTACGAGAAAATACATTGATGTCTTAGATGAAATGGTAAATCAATACAACAACACAAAGCATTCTTCAATTAAAATGACTCCAGCTGAAGCAAGCGATAAAAAGAATGAAAATAAAATTTGGTTTAATCTAAATGGTAAAGTAAAATCAAATCCTATTCAACCTAAGTTTTCAATAGGTGATAAAGTGAGAATAATTAAAAAGAAAGGAGCGTTTGAAAAAGGATATACACCAAGATGGACTGAAGAAGTATTCACAGTATCACAAGTTCAGTACACAGATCCACCTACTTATAAAATAACTGATTATAATAATGAAGAAATACAAGGTACTTTTTATGAACAAGAACTTCAAAAAACGAATCAAGAAACATTTAGAATTGAAAAGGTTATTCGTAAACAAGGTAATAAATCATTTGTAAAGTGGTATGGGTATCCTGATACTTTTAACTCATGGGTTAATAATAAGGAATTGAAAAATCTATGAAAAAATTTCTAAATAATTATCTTGCATATATAAAAATGCAAAACTCTAATGTAAATGTGAATATATGCGTATCAGCTACTTCTGGCAATGCTAATACAAATACTACTGTAACAGCTTCTTCATATTCTACAGCATCCACAAGCAAATAAACAAATCTGACGCATGCGCACTTAGCAAAACAAAAGCAACAAACCATTGAATATGGTAATGATGATGAAAGTACACAGAATTAAATATTTTTTTACAAAAAAAATAAAAAAAATTGAAAATGAGTTAAATAATTTTCTTTTATATATAAAAAGAATGGAAAACAAAATGACTAAAAATGAAGTTATTAAAATATTAAAAGCAATTAATCGTGCTGTAGAAAATGGTAACCTTGAATTAGTAAAATATTTGCATAAATTAAAGTATAAATATGAAAAATGGGCAATTGATTGTGTTGCTAAAAATGGTCACCTTGAAGTAGTGCAATATTTTCATAAATTAAAGTATAAATATGAAAAATGTGCAATTAGTTCTGCTGCTAGATATGGTCACCTTGAAGTAGTAAAATATTTACATGAATTAGGATATAAAGGTGATAAATTAGCAATTAGTTATGCTGCTATAAATAACCACTTTGAAATATTAAAATATTTACATGAATTAGGGTATGAATGTTACGATTGGACAATTGATTGTGTTGCTAAAAATGGTCACCTTGAAATATTAAAATATTTACATGAATTAGGGTATAAAGGTACAGAAGAAGCAATAGATAAAGCTGCTAGAAATGGTCATCTTGAAGTAGTAAAATATTTACATGAATTAGGTTATAAATGTTCAACAGATGCAATTAATTGCGCTGCAGAAAATGGTCACCTTGAAGTAGTAAAATATTTACATGAATTAGGATATAAAGGTGATAAATTAGCAATTAGTTATGCTGCAGAAAATGGACACTTTGAAGTAGTAAAATATTTACATGAATTAGGGTATAAATGTGACAAATGGACAATTGAATGTGTTGTGAGAAATGGTCACCTTGAAATATTAAAATATTTACATGAATTAGGGTATAAATGTGATGAATGGACAATTGAATGTGTTGTGAGAAATGGTCACCTTGAAATATTAAAATATTTATATGAATTAGGGTATAAATGTGACAAATGGACAATTAATTCTGCTGCTAGAAATGGTCACCTTGAAGTAGTAAAGTATTTACATGAATTAGGATATAAAGGTGATGAATGGACAATTTATATTGCTATAGAAAATGATCACCTTGAAGTAGTAAAATATTTACAATCTATTGGATATAAATTAGAAAAGTCACGTGACCTGTGACGTCACGCAATAGAAACGAAATTGATACTAAATTTTTAAATCTTAAAAAAATGATTTAGCGTAGCATTGGTCACGAAGCGACCTAAAAATTTATTTCTTAGGTATAATATTTATACACACTATGAATGATAATGAATCATATATTTTAATTAAAATATATGATTGAAAATATGGTTGAAAATGAAAATGGCCCAAAACCGGTATTTTCCTACTACTCTCCTTTATTCTGTAATTTAATTTTTCTTTTGGACATTTCTTTTTGGCCAATGAACCCTATTATAACATTTGGTGATAAAAATTTACCAGAAATGGTTTCATATTTTTAAGACCTCTTAAAAGATGAGGGAGGGTGTAAAACTGATGAAATTTTTATTGAGTGGATTGGTTTAAAAAGTTATATATTTCCAATGTTAAAAATTCGTAAGGAGAATACTATTTGAAAACGTGGAAGAAAATATTTATATCAGATACAATTATTGCTGAATGCAGAAATGTATAAGACGTATTCGAGTTGCTTTTACTTTGTCCATTTACAAACGCTAAAGTAGAACGTATGTTTCCTGCATCAACACAGTAAAACCGGATTGGAGAAACAAACTATCACGTGATCGTTCTGAATCTTTTTAACGAATAGAAGAAGAAGAATACAGCATCAAGAAATTTGACCCAAACCCTGCTTTGGAAGCATAGTATAAAGAAAAAAATTAAAAGAATATCTCCTGCTCCTGATCGCTATCCGGAAAAACGAAAAAAATCTACCGATGCAAATTGCATCGACCTTTCTCTAAACAATATCAGATTTAGAAAGAGAAAGTGATAGTGATAACTCCAATGTATAAACTTATTTTGCTATATTTTTAAAATTCGTATTGATTTATTATTAGTTTATTACAGGGCTTTTGAGCCGAGGTCTTAAAGTTGGCTCCGCTTCAGGCTGCAGCTTCATTAGAATTTTTGGCTCCAGCTCCGGCTCCAGCTCTGGAGCAGCTCCGGAGCGGCTCCACAAAAAAAAATCAAAAATTTTTCTAATGTATTATGACAGTGGCTTAAGTACTTTTTTTTTTTTTTTTTTTTTTTTTTTTTTTTTTTTTTTGCCGTTTGCCTTCAGTTTATGTAACAAGTTAAAAATTACAAAATACAACACAATATAGTACAAGTACAAGTGACAAGTACAATTAGTAAATAATATGATAAGATATATAAATAAACATTTTTTTTTAGTTATATATATATGTATATATATATATATATATATATATATATATATATATATATATATATATATATATATATATATATAATTTAAAAATTTAAGAAACAAATCAAGACAAAAATAAGAGAGTCGTGATTTTTTCATGAATGACTTTTTCAGTTTAATTATTTTAGGTACTATTTTTAAAAGAAATTTTTAAAATCGAAGCTTTTTCCTAATAGAAAACGTTTAGATTCTTTTTTGAATTGTTCTAGGGAAGCTTTTTATTTTTTATAATATTTTTTAAAAAACTTTTCCATTTAAATGGTCCACGGTATTGAGTTTGAAATGAGCTGAGTTTTAAATAAGATCTTGGAATAACAAACATATCAATTGAAAATTTTGTGGGGTATTTATGAGTAATTTCAGTGAAGTAAGAGTGAAATATATTAGGAGACAAATCATGTTTTGATTTAAACATTAGAAGCATAACTTGGTATATATTAAGTTTATAAACATTAAGTGCATTAAGTTTGCTTAGAGGAGATTCACCATTATCAGTTCTGTTAACGCCAAATATAATCCTACATAAATGTTTTTGTTTGCTATAGATTTTTTTAAGTTTCCCATAATTAGTACTTCCCCATGCAATATTGCAATAAGAAATATAACTATGAATAAATGAAAAATATATAATTCTTTAAGACTCAATATTAAGAAATGGTTTAATTTTATATAACATTGAAATATTTTTGGAGATTTTGTTTTCAATAGATTTAATATGATATTTCCATGATAAATTTTCATCTATAATCACTCCTAGAAAGTTAACAGTTGAGTCTCTTTTAATAATTGTTTTATTCATAAAAAGATTCGGTAATTTTAGAGAAAGGTTATCTCCCCTACGAGGTTTGTGGAACAAGATAAATTTAGTTTTCTCACCATTTAATGAAAGTTTATTATTTGTAATCCAGTCATTTACTTTTAATAATTCTTCGTTAAATATTCTAAACAGTTCTTTTATATTATTGTGTGAGTAAAAAAAAATTCGAATCATCAGCAAAAAAAATAACATTTAAAACTTTGGATGCTAAGTATAAATCATTAATATAGAATAGGAATAAGAGCGGCCCTAGGATTGATCCCTGGGGAACACCACAAGTTATAATATGATTTTCAGTTTCATTTGCTGTATATAATATCCATTGTTTTCTGTTTGACAGGTAACTTTTAAACCATAGTAAGTTATTATTAAGTATTCCATACAATTCTAGTTTTTTTAAAAGAATATCGTGGTTTACAGTGTCAAATGTTTTTGACAAATCAATAAAAGCTTCTAATGATTAGCAATCATTACTATTGGATGTATAATTTATTAGATCGACTACCGCATGATCAGTTGAATGATTCTTTTTGAACCCAAATTGTTTGTTATACATTATATTGTTCTCAGTTAAATAAGTATAAGGTCTATCATACATAATTCGTTCTAACAATTTTGAGAAACATGGTAAGACAGAAATAGGTCTATAATTAGACATAATCGTGTCATCGCCAGATTTAAAAATAGGTATGATCTTAGCAATTTTTAATTTCTCCGGTACAATACCGGATTCTAGTGAAAGGTTAAAAATGTAAAACAGTGACGGTTCAATAATATCAAACACTGCTTTAACAACATTCACGTTAATATTATCTATGCCAGCGCATTTATTACTTTTTAGACAGCTGAATGCATTTCGCAACTCATTTATGTTTAATTTTACTTCTTTCATAGATGTATTGATTGATTTCATATAAGATTCAAAGTTTGAGGTGTTTTTTGGAATTTTATCAGCTAAAGTTAAGCCAATATCAAGAAAAAATTTATTGAGCTTTTTAACTATGACTTCTTTATTATAAATCATTTTCCCGTTAAGTAATAGTTTTGTGGCAAATTGTTTTTTGGATATTTATTTTTACCGATTATCTGCTTTATCACGTTCCACGTCTTTTGTGTGTTTCCGCGTGTTTTTTCCAACAACCTTGCATAATAATATTTTTTTTGCATGTTTCTTTGTTTTTTCAAACGTGTTTTTATAATTTTTGTATTTTATTTCATTTTAATATGTTTTATGTTTTAAATATTTTTCATAAAGTCTTTGCTTTCTCTTTGATGATTTGTATAAACCTTTGGTCATCCAATGGCTTAGAAGTGAATTAGGATTTACAACTTTTTTTTGTTCTGGAAATGCTAAATCATAGTGTTTACAAAACTGCGCCAAAAATAGTTCATACGCATTATTCGCGTCTTGTGATTGTAATATAAGGTTCCAATCAGTTTTTTCAGATAAAAGATTTCGAAAGTATAATAAAGAGTTTTCATTGATTTGTCGTATTAAGATTGTTGATTTAGAGACGGAATGGCTAAGGGTTATATTATCTGTTACTAAGAATATTGGGTAATGATCAGTTATGTCGATTTTGATTATACTGATTCTAAGAAGCAATTATGAAAATTATTAGTGAATATATTATCTAATAATGTCGACATGGTCTTAGTTATTCTCGTTGACTTATTTATTGTTGGAATTATATCGTGCTGAAGAAGTGTATCTAAAAAACATTGAACATTTACATTTGAAGCATGATTTAACAAGTTTAAATTATAATCACCAGTTAAGTACACGTGTTTCTTTATAATGTTAACTTTGCTTAAGAAATTTTTCAAATAAGATTGAAATCTTTTGAAATTACCCGCTGGTTTTCTATAAATAGAATTGATAATAATATTTTCAGTTGCCCTATTATTTATTTCAATGCATAACGACTCGCAATCTATTTCGTTAACAATCAAATCATTGCGTAAAATAAAGTTTATAGATTTGTGAACATAGATACTTAAACCACCACCAACGTGGGTTTGACACGGTTGGTGAATTGACACGTAATTACTTAGCTCATAATTAGAATTTATTTCATTACTTTTCAACCACGTTTCCGTGAGACTAATTATTTTAAAATCGTGGTTTAGATCATGCAATAAGAATTTTAGATTATCAAAATTTTTATAAATACTTCGAATGTTTAGATTGAAAATTGAAAAACTTTTTTTATTTTTTATTTTACAAAGAAACTGAGTAGATTCAAATATTGAATAATACTCACTTTCAAAACTTTTTTGAATGAAATAGTCATCATCACACTCAATATTAGAATTAAGTCGAAGATTATCATCCATTTTTAAAAAAGTAAAATATACTAATCATGAAAATAAGATATTAAAATATTAGGATTATACATTTATACTTTTCTTAAGTTTATCGTATGAAATACTTGCAAATTTTCCTGCCGCTCGTTCCATTTTCATTTGTTCTCTCAGCACCTTCCTAATTTGCAATGTCTCAGCGCAGAAATCTTCATTTATATAGATAATTTTTCCTTTTAGGTTAGGGGATTTTTTTAAAATATTTACTGTATCTTTAAAGTCTAGAAGCTTAATGATTATAGTTCTTGGTCTAAGTGAATCTTTATGACCAGTTCTATGTGCCCTTTCAATTTTAATATCTTTTAGACCTAAATAATTTTCAAAAATGTTTTTTACCTTTGTTTCACTGTCATTCCAACTTTCACCTTCGCTTTCTTTAATTCCGTCGATTCTCAGATTATTCCGCCGGGATCGATCCTCTTTTTCTCTTAATTTGTTGGTAATTTTAGAAAATGCAGACTCATTGTTTTGGGTAACGTTTATTGTATTACATTTATCCCGTAAAGTAATGACGCTTCGAATTTTTTCTTCAATGAGTTGTTCATGAAAGTTTAAACTCACTTTAATATCTTCAATTTCTTTTTCTATCAATTTTATTTGCTTACTATTTTCATTGATACGCAATTCAACGTATAAAATTTTTGTGCTCAAACTTATTATGTTTAAAACGTTTTTTTCTTGCTGTTTAATCATATCTCCTATTTCCTTCTTAAACTCCTTAAACATTTTTTTAAACATTTTCTTTATTTGTTCAATCGTAACTGCCATTATTATATTGTATGTATCGCTATTAATATTTCATTAATCAAAATCTTGATTTATCCTTAAAAATAAAGTATCTAAAGAACTTAAGAGCAGAAACTTAAGAGCAGAAACTTAAGAGCAGAAATTAGCCTTTCTACACTTACTTGTGAGATAGATACAAGTGATAACTCTGCACGCTTCTTGTATTTTTTTTGGGTATTCTTTAATTCCCTCAAAAGCTGATTTCACTTTTGAACGTCCCATTTCTTTCGTTATCCTACATTCGTCCAAAAAACTTGTATTAAAAGCTTTTTTTTTCTTCACCGTCGAAATTAGATTCACTTAAAACGGAAAGAAGTACTGCAGCACAGCAGTCTTGATTTTCTATTATATACTTGACATCTCTTTTATAAGTTTTTCTGCTACTGCTTTTAAGCCTTGTTTTGCTCGTATTATCTGGTTTTCTTCCAATAGTATTCTATATCTAACATCAACATGGTGATAACAAAAGAATCTAAAGTATTTGTTTAGTATTTTTAATATTGAAATCATTTAAATGTGATAAAGTGATTTTGAAGATTTTCTTTGGGCCATAAGGCTCATTTCAAATTCAATAAGACAGATGTGATTTTTCCAAACGCCGACAGTTTTCCAAATGCCTGACAGATGTGATTTTTCTAAATGCCTTTTCATATTGTAAACATTTGATTTTTTTTTTTTTGTTTGCATGGTGCATGAAATCACTTTATCGTTTATCTTTTCTGTAATCTTACATGTAACTAGTTTTGCAGTTTTATCAATTGAAAAATATTTATCTAGAAACCTCTCAGGACTGTTTAGGTTTGAGGCTATTTTTGAATAAACTATGAAAATTAAGTAAATGACAAATTTTAAAGATAAGAGAAATAATTAAAAAGATAGTATAAACAAAAATCATAACAATAATATTTAAAAAAAAAACCTTTAAAATCTCTTCCAACTTTTATTTGGAATTCACATATTTAAATCTACTATTAAAATGTTTTCAAATCTACTATTAAACTAATTAAAAAAGGTTAAAACAAATCATGTGACTTAACACATAAATAAAGTATTTTTTTGTTAAGATTGTCCATAAAGTACGTACATAAAGGATCTTACATAAAGTACGGTCGAATGGGAGAGAGGGTCAATTATGAAAGTAAGGTGACACCAAATTAAAAAAAATATCATAAAATGTTGAGTAAGTAGTTTAAAAGGTTAGATACTTTTAGGGAAGTGGAGGGTACTCAAAAAAGTGTAAAGCAAAATGCATGGAAGGAAGGAGGGGGGGGGGAGAGGAATAAGGAATCAAAAAAAAAAGCTTACGCTTTTTATGGACGACTCCTTAACCAATCATTGACATTGTTTAGAAGTATTGTTTTAAAGAAACTTATCATACACTACAATAAGAACCACATGACATATTACACAAAATAATTGGATAAAAATTAAATTCTGAAAAAAAAATTTCTTTATGTTTTTTTTTATAAGCCATAGGAAAAAATGCATTATTTAGAAATTATAAATAAATGTTTTAATGAGCGTAATTGTTTAAATTTTAAAAAAAAATCGTTTAATATAAAATAATAACTTTATGGAAATTTGATATTTAAAAACATCAAAAGAGTAGAGCTGGCTCGGAGCCAGCTCCAACAGGAAATATTTTAGCTCTAGCTCCGGCTCAGCTCTGTGTAAAATCACCAGCTCCGGATAGCTCCAACTCCAGCTCTGGAGCTGTTCCAAAGCCCTGGTTTATTATTAAGTTATGTTTGATATTTGAAACTGTCGTCGAAATGCACTTTAAAGTCGTAAAAACATAAAAGTCATTAAAAATAAAATATATGGGTATATGGTTTGGCAAAGTAGTAATTGTTATTTTTTATATCTAAACCACAGCTTTTTTTAATCTCATATCCTTTTTATTCATAATAAATGACATTAATAGTTAATAATATAAAAAATAAATTAAAATTTTTAAATAATCTTTAATAAAAAAGACAAAAAAAACGACAGCTATAATTACGTATAATTACAAACTATTTTATTATATATATATATATATATATATATATATATATATATATATATATATATATATATATATATATATATATATATATATATATATATATATATATATATATATATATATATATATATATATATATATATATATATATATACATATATATATTTTAACACAATATTTTTATAGTATTAGGGGAGACTTGGGCAAAATGACTGCTTTAACAAATTTTTTTCTTACTAATTTATATTCAAGAATAGTAAAATTAATTTTACATAAAAATCTTAGAGTAGTCCTTGGTGATATTCAATATACTAACATTTACTTATTTATATAAAAAAAGTAAGATAATTTTGTTTTTACACAACCTTAACAAATCGTCATCTTGCCCCAATACTAGGGCAAAATAACTTTAACCTTGGGGTAAGATGACAACATTGAAAATAGTTTAATAGTTTTTTAACTTTTAAATATGTTATAAATAGTTATAAATATGTTAATATGTTAAATATGTTATAAATATGTTATAAATATGTTTTAAATAGTTTTTTAACTTTTAAATATGTTACATGGTTTAACAGATGATAACTGTGTTTTTACATCTTACCAACGATCAAAATAAACGTAATGCAATGTAACGTAATGTTAAAGTATTTAATTGTACCGCTAACAACAGTCACAAATAAAAATAATTTTTTTCATAATTGGAACATTTACGTGTCACTACTGTTAGCATTTATAGCACGAATTCATTCTTCTGTTGCAGGGTCACATTATTCCTCTGCACATGAAGAACATTTTGTAACATCATCCTTTGATGTTGACGCAACTAGATTGTTTGTCTTGGATTTTATGTTGGATTTATATTAGAATTAGACATACAGGAATTTTGCTTCAGTTCAATAACACCCTATATAGCTTTACGAACTTCTTTTTTATTCTGTTTTTTTAAACTTTTTTTTCTTCTTTCTATTTTTTCTTTGTTTTAACAGTTTTTTGAAAGGTTTACTTGTAAGAATACTTGAGATCATTATTTGCTTTTTTTTTTTTCTTTCATTTTTTGCTTTAGCCAATGTTTTGAAATTAAAAAGCTTTTGTTATAAGTTCTTCTGGATGATTTATATGATGTTTTTCTACTCCTTGGGTCTTAGGATTAGCATTATTGTTATCAGTTTGATTTCCAACAACATCATGGTTAGTAGTTTTTGCAGCGCAAAGTCATGTTTATTAATTGCAAGAGGATTATAAGACTCAATCCTACATTCTTTAATCCCATTAACGGCATTTCCTACTTCTCAGCAAAGTTAAAAGTTAGTTTTCTACACTGTTTCTTTGTTTATCTAAAAAACATTTTGTTCATTGCTATTATGTAGGATTTAATTCTATCCTGCTGTGCAGCATTAAAGACTTTTCTAAATCTTCTTTTATGAACCGTCATCTCTTAAAAGAAAGTTTACCGTTCTAGTGAAAATAATTTCAGGACTCGGACTTTTCATATTCAAATACAGGTTTAACAACAGAGTTAAAGCTCTCCAACTTTCCCCATCATCTTGCCCCAGACTGCCTGTTTAAAGATATTCGTTTTCCTTGCCATAAAGGAAAGCAATTAATTGATTTTTTTTTTTTGGTGGATGGGGGGGGGGTAATAAGTAGCTACATTGAATTTCAAAACATCTCTACGTTCAAGAGATGGTTGATCAATACATCCTATTATTTGAAAATAACTGAAAAGCGGTTTTTCCTTAACTCGAGGAAAAACAAAACAAAACCTATTGCCGTTTTTCGCAGGACGCAGAAATGTTCCAAATTATTCTTCTGAATACAAAACTTATTTAGGTGCTTTAAGAAGTCTTAATGGTCTTTTCACAGAACACCGCGGATAAGAATTTAATTGGAAGTTCACGTCTCCTTCTTAATTGATGCCACATAACTTGCCTAGAGGTGAGGTTTAAACCACGGATGCTTTGTGGCTAAGGCAAGTGCGTTACTATTGAGCCACGGCTGCTAATGTTTCATAATTATTCTTTGCACATTTTTGGACTTCTTGTTTTACAATACTCTCTGCAATAGGTAATCTCACAGCAAAATCAACATGCTACTAATTATATGGGCCTGAGCTATACTTGATTAGAAAAAACGTTTCACTGTTATATCAGCTGTCTCTGTTACTTTGTGGACATATAAAAATATTTCTGGTCTCTTTCCCTATATATCTTTTTGTCTCTATTTACCCCGTTTTACGGTAGACTAATTTTCAGTAATTAAAGCAAAAAAAAAAAACTTATTATTTTTTTAACATACTAGAATTACATTCTTTGACATACTTGTTTCTATTTCAAATTGCGTTTAAGAAAAAAGGTTATACTTTTTATGCATAACTTTTTTTCACATGTATGAAAAAGATAAGAAGAGGGGTTTCGGGGGGATGGTTGTAAAAAAAAGAATTTTTGGCGTCCGAATTAAAGTTTTGCAGTCAGGCTCATTTTTTGTCGCTACGCTACTGATGTAATTCAAGTATTTTTTATGCCTCTGGGATTGCCAGGAAAAAAAAATCTATAATGATATGTCATGGAAACCAGTTATCAAGATCAAATTGATCTAAACCTGATGCACAAATCTGTCGGTTTTACATATGAAAACTAACTGCAGCTACAAAGTAAATCTAAAGGTTTGAAATTTTTTTTCATAAATCTTGATAAGTAATGTTGAATGTCTAGACGACATAATGTCTTTATTTTATTCTTTCATTTGTTTTAATGTGAATTCATTTTCATTTTTACTTGCATAATTACATAGGATTTGCGATTAAACAGTACTCAATTAGCGATATTTTTTATTTTACTTAGAACCTTTATGAGTTTTTTCTCTGACACGCTAAAAAATATTTTATTAACTTTTTAGAATCAGCAGGTCAAAATTAATAAATGTCACATATTTTTATCTCAGAAAGTTTATAGTTATTTATCACATACCTAGT